CTGTTTTCTTGGAAGACACTGGCTCTCTCTGTCTCCGTGGACCCGACCTCCTGTGCTGAGCTGGTCCCAATCCCCCTCTTGCCTGTTCTCTGAAGCAGCCAGAGATCAGCTGGCCTTCCCGGCAGGGCCATTGCATACCTTTCTTTCTTTGTGGATAGCATTAAGTATAAAGCCTGTGCTTACTCCAAGCAGAGAATACATGCCCTTAACCCAGGTGGGCTGTGGCACATGCAGCCCTTGGGCTGCCTTGATGAGCTTCAGGCCTCAGAGGCTCATGTGTTTTCCTGACTGGCTCTGTGATCAGGCATCCTGGGGGAGGATGGTGAGGGCCCCATGTTTACTGATCAAGCAGTGTCCTAGGGTATGGGACCTGGTGACTTTTCTGCCTAAGACATTCCTCTACACCTTAAAGGCCTTGAGAGTCCTTGAGAGGGAGTTTTCTATGGACTTTGGTTGGTAAGGGTGTTTCTAGCACCTGCTATTTGAGCACTTTCTTTTTCTAGGACTGGAGCAGAGGATACCCCTTGCACTCTGGTTGGGCAAAGATGGGGTCACCACCCTGGCAGAAGTTCTTATTGCAGGCCTCACACTGTGACCTACAGATGATCCTGGGACCCAGCAGTACTTCCTGCCCCAGGCCTTTGTTGCCTCACCTTTTGGAAGTATCCCTCGTGCTGACAGTCTATGAGCTGGTATCAGAGCTGGAAGGGACTCCAGAGGTCACGTGTGCTCCGACAGCTGCTGTGGCAGCTTGCTGAGGTCTTGAGGTCCTCAGTGGCATGTTGAAGAGGAGGTCGCCCTCCCCCAGCAAATGTGGTGACTTCCCTAGGGGAGCTGGGGCTGATGGGGTGAGTGGCAGGGCAGGGTGGCCTTTGGAGGGCTGAGGGAAGATGGTGCTCGCCTGAGGCCTCACACAGGTGTCATAGCTGGAGCTACCAGAACAAAGTGCACAGACCAGGTGACTTACACCCCCATTTCTGGAGGCTAGAAGTCCAAGGTCATGGTGTCAGCTGTGAGGGTCCAGCTGATGGAGGCTGCAGCCCTTCAGGGATCCAGGACTGGAGTATCAGAGGCAGAAGCAAAAGACTTGTGCTGCTCAGGTGTGGGAAGCCAGGGACTGTGTTCTGGCCGAGCTTGCCCAGGGCTCCTGTAAGTCCCTGGATAACCTACTGTTCATGGACGACTGACTTTTATCAGCAAGAAGCATCTGGCACAGTGCTGGCTAAGGAAGGGTGGCTCCCTGCCCCAGGCCAGGACACTGCGGTGAACAGCGGCCCTAGTGTTTGAGCTCCAAAGGTGCTGGTTGCTGCCGTGGTTCCCTTGGAGCCAGTGTGGACATGAGGTGACTGTTGTGAGAGTATCGACCTCTCTGTGTTTGCAGATGAGCCACCTGGTGTCAAGAGGGAGGAAGGCACTAGCCTAAGATTGCAGGCCAGGCAGGGCCAGGCCTGGCTCTCCTGTTACACACCCCAAACCATTTGGGTCCCCAGAGCTGTCTGTCCCTGTCTGATGGCCCAGTGCGGGGACAGCCTGAGATCTTGGCCTCACTGGGAGGCTCTGCCATGCACAGCTTTTGTGGGAAACCCAATCTTGCTGCTTTCTCAGGGACTGGGCTTCCTTCTGGTCTCACCTTTCTCTTTATGGAAAAAAAAGCTCCGGTAGATTGTTTCCTGTAACCAGGTGCTGCCTGCCCCATGCAATGGGGATGAACTTCTTTCTGAAAGAAGTGGCCGACTTCCAGGGAAATGGGAGTCACCAGGCGGGCTTCCTGTGGTGGAGGATGTTCTGACCCAGACCACAGGCTCAGAAAAATTAGGGAGGCTCTCTTTTCACCCACCTCCCCAGAACCACCCCGAAGGCAAAGCTTTTCATTTGCCTCACTCCCACAGTCTCCCCATCTCGTTCCACCCCTACTCCCCACGCGGTGCCACTGCCCGTGGTTATTCCACATGAATCTGTCCACTGTGTGTCTGAGTCTGTGTCTGTGTGGGTCTGAGTTGGTCTGGGTGTGCATCTGTAGGGGTCTATTTTGTATCTGAGTTTGTGTGAGAAAGGAAAAGGGAATCTGTGTTTCTGGGGACATGCGCGAGTCCGTGTATCTGTGTGTGTATACATTTCTGGGTGAGGAACCACACAGGACCTTTTGGCTGGTATTCTTAGCCAGCCCCTGAGGCTCCTTGGGAGGCCAGGCCCAGGGCTGTCACAGCAGCGTCACTGAGCTGTTGTGGAATTCCAGGAGATAATGCCTAGGAGTGCGCATGTGCTGAGGAGGTTGGCAGGGGTGTGGATGGTCCTAGTATTGATGGAGGGATGCTCTGCCAGAGGCAGGTTGAAACCTGGTGATGGTCACATTGTCCTGCAGCCTTTGGAACCCTGATGCCTCCGCTTCCTAGAACAACAATTTGCTGGTGTAGAAACCTAAATCATCCTCCTGCCTCAGTTAGATGAGATAAATGGGACAGAACCTTTGCAGAATACTGGGAGAAAGTTTGGAAAGCCAGCAGTAAGCATCTACTCCCAATCAATCAAAAGATGGACCCTTAGGAAGTGTAGGCTGCACAAAGCGGATGCAAAAGGCCCTACCATCACCAAGGATGCCCTGGGCTCTGGCAGACCTCAGCTGGTGCCTGAACGTCCAGCAGTGTGCCAGTTTAGGCAGCAGAGCACATTACCAGCTGTGCAGGGTTATAGGGAGGACAGTGCATATTCATGTCCACTCTCTACCCGGAGTCCACACTGGGCCAGCTCCTGATGAGAAAAAGATGACCTGGACTGACGCTAGTGTCTGTGTGTGACTTGGCTTAGAAACTTCAGCGACCAAGCAACCTTTTGTGACCCCCTTAGCCAAGTCCAAGGATCTAGATGTTACTGGCACACGGCTGTATTCCATCAGCACCCAGGAGAGGAGGTCTTGGCATAAGCTTTAGGATTACCAGCAGTCTTGTGGAGCAAGCCAAGGGAGGTCAGCTGGCACAGCCCCTGGAGTCCCCCTCTGCCTGGTGCCCTAGCCCATGTCAGGGCTTTAGGGACTGTGGAATGCTGGGCTGTAGCCCTCTGCATTCGCACAGCCAGCTTAGAGATGTGCCCATAACGGGGCGGATTAAAGAGGCCGTAGGGAAAGTCCAAAGGCCCCTCCAACATTCTCTTCCCTGGCATCATCATCCTAGCATGCTCCTGGATCATCCAAGTCAAGTCTTTTCTTATCACTGAGTTCTAAAACAAGCCAGAGGGTACAAATTGAATTTAGGGTAGACTTAAGAAGACAATATCCTAACAAAAGGCATTATTCTTACCTACAGGGGACAAGGTTGAAGAGTCCTGTCACCTTTCCTAGGTCCTGTAGTGTAGGAGCCAGCAAGCAGGTGGTCTGCTAGGCCCTGCCCTCCTCTGTACCCACAGGGCACCCTCAGCCCAGACCCTTTCTCCAGCGCTCCCAGAGGGGTTTGTGTGTCCAGCCACAACTGCAAGAAACAGTTCCTGGCATTCTTCTCCTTCTGCTTCTTCCTTCTCTCTTCTCCTCCTAATTTTGTCTCGGACTGAGGCTGCTGGGAGAGGCCACATTTTCATGTGCAGCCTCTGGCCCTCATGCTGAGCTGGGCTCACTGGGGAACTTCCGCTTTGGCTCTTTTAGGATTCTGTTCTCACTTATTTTCCTGGATATTTTTGTCTCCTTTGGGGCCAGAAACACATAGCAGCGTGTGGCACCAATTGAAATGGCTGCAGGATGCCTTGCTGTAGGCAACCCCTACCCTCTCTTGGCTTTCCTGGGGCAAGGGGACAGGCAAAACATTTATCTCCTTTCCCACCTCTCGCTGCTCTGCTGCCTGGTTCAGATGGGTGGGATTTAGCAGAGCTCCTGGTGTCCCCTGTGTGCTGGGATAGCTGTTCTTGCGCACGGCATTATGGTATGGGTGGAGACATCCTCCCATAGTGCTCTTGCTGCTTCATTACTAGAAATAGATCCTTAGACCACAGCCAGGGGCCCCCAGGGTGCAGCAGCACAGGGCGGTCTAGCCAGCTGTCACCCCTTGCAGAATCAGGAGTAGGGGCATGGGCTGTGTTCTTTGGTGCCATCTCCTCTGGCCTGAGAATCAGGGGCCTCATTTCACCTCCAGCCTGGTCACTGCTTTCTTGTGAGGCCCAAGTGGTTTCTGTACCTCTCCAGCTTTTGTTTGCACATTTAATCAGAGTTTTAACTAAATTATCACTGTGACCCTTTCTAGTGCTACAGTGTATGGGGTTTTGTGGACACCACGCTTCCAGGCAGGTGGGGGCAGCAAGCCCTAGGAGTCTCTTCCCTGTGCCTTTCTCTAAGCTGTAGACCCTCTGGGCTTCAGCAGGCCCCAGGCCCCACTCCTCCACTCAGAGAGCCTGAAAAGCAGTCCAGGGCCCCAGAGTGGGCTGAGGGCAGAGAGTAAAAGCACAAGAACTTCCTAAGGGATAGTACCTCCCAATTCTGATGCCGCCACTCATACATGACAAGGGCTATAGCTGGGGCATGCTGACACACGCCTGTAATCCCGGCACTGGGAAGGCTGAGGTAGGAAGATCACCGAGAGTTCGAGGCCAGCCTGGGCTACATAAATGAGTTCAAGGCCAGGCTGCACTACAGAGTGAGACCTTGTCTCCGAAGGGGAGGAAAAAAACAAAAACCAAACGAACATGACAAGGGCTGTGGGCTCTTGCTGTCTATTAGTGGTAGGGGAAGTTGTGGGGATTTAACCCAGGGCCTCATGCATACTAAGCACAGTACCATTGTGCTGTACCCCAGACCTCTGAAAACATGTTTGGTCATTGGCCCTCCTCCTGCTCATGTAGATCCATTTTGATTTCCACTTTTCACCCCCCAGGTATGCAGGCAGCCAGCCTCAGAGCTTCTGGACCATGCGTGAGCTTGGCCAGGCCTGCCCTTATCCCTAGGGTGGGGTTCATGGGGCGCCCCTTTGTGCGCAGGGACTCCGCCCATCTGCTCTTACCATCTTCTTGTGTGACCTTCACAGCCTGTGATTGCCACCCCGTTGGTGCTGCTGGCAAGACCTGCAACCAGACCACCGGCCAGTGTCCCTGCAAGGATGGGGTGACGGGCATCACCTGCAACCGCTGCGCCAAGGGCTACCAGCAGAGCCGCTCGCCCATCGCGCCCTGCATCAGTACGTGTGGACCCTGCTCTCAGCTTTGGATTGGGCGGAGGGATTGGGCCCTGTGGGATGGCTGGTTCCTGGTATTGAGTTGTTCTGTTGCTTAATGCCTCGTGCTCAGGGAGACCTCAAGCTTGGGGTAGGGGGAAGCGTCCTGGCGGAGCAGCTGGAGGCTCAGCAGAGCCAGCTTATACATGGCCCTTTGTCCTTACCGATAGTGCATCTGGCCCCAGGGGAAAGCAAGCCCTTTTCCCAGCACAGGTCCTGTTCTCACATTCCACCTTGACCCCAGATGTGGGGTGGCTGCTGTGGCTGCAGGAATCCTAACATTTCCCTGCCTTGGTGCGTTGAGAATGGAAAGAACTGAAATCCCAGGGCCTTTGAGAAGAGCTGAGCTGGGCTCCCATGCACAGCGCCCGAGGCCCTCGTGAAGGGTGATTGTCACCCTGGGGCAGTGGTGGCAAACCTACAACACGTGTGCCACAGAGGGCTGTTTGCAGCATTGGAAGCTCTCAAAGTTTCACCACCACGGCCCTAGGGGCTCTAGGGACCTTGTTGGACCAGAGTTTCCATGGAGAGGGGCCGAGCAGGAAGGCAGAATCACCCCGAGGCCTTGGCGCAGAGGGTTTCAGTGTTTTACGCCTGGTAGGCTTGCGCTGCTTCCTAGCAGAGGATCAGCGCGGGTTAGAAAGCCTCGCCTCACTGCACGTTGGCTCAACCTTGCTCTGGTCCTGAGCCTTGCTGCTTCCTTGTGCAGGGCTGATCAAGCCAAGAAAGGAGGGCGGCAGGAGGAGGAGAGTGAATCCCAGCAAACAAGGCGAGATCCCATGAACGAAGTCTGGTTTTCAGGAGAGCAAGGCTGGCAGATCTGGCCCAGGAAACTGGCTGCTGCCTGCTTTTGCGTGGCTCAGTAGTTTGTACCTTTTTTAATGGTTGAAACAGAAATCAAAGGAAGAATAGTATTTCATGACGCATAAAAAATTATGTGAAATACAAAGCTCAGTGTCCAGAAATAAAGTTTTATTGGAATGGAGCTGCACACCTCCCCCCTCCCATTTACACGCTTTCTGTGGCTGCTTTTGTGCTGTTAACAGCAAAATCGAGTAACTGCAGCAGAGACTGCGTGGCCCACAGAGCCCTGAAGTATTTACTGCTTGGCCCTTTTCAGAGGAAGTCAGTCAACCCCTACTTCAGAGAGTCTCTGTCTCTGAGTTCTGGGTGGGCTTCAGTGCCTGTTAAGTTATGAGAGACTGGGAACAACCTGAGTCAGAGGGCCAGCCCCCGGGGGCCACGGTGTGGAGGGGACTCCCTCATCCCAGCAGCAGCCTCAGGGTCCTTGGGCGTTTTGGGCCCTGCACACACCCTTTCCCCCAGCACATGGGTGCCTCAGAAGCTGCACACCTCATCTACCCTGGAGGAGGGGCCTGCACTTCCAGAACAGGTTGGCTGTGTTAGTGCCAGCAACCACTGACCAGTTTCTGAATCAAGGGACGTCTCCAGCCGATAGCCACATGGGTCCTGACAAAGTCCAGGCCTCAGGAATGGAGCTGGATGTCTGCCCTGCGATAAGCAGGTTGAAATGGGCGGTTGAGTGGTAAGTGCTCGCCTAGCCTGCCCAAGGCCCTGGGTTCAGTCTTAGCAACACCTTAAAAAAACAAAACTAAACTAAACTGCCAGACACAATGATACACCCTTGTAATTCCAGCATTCTGGAGGCTGAGGCAAGAGGACCTGGGCTTGAACTGGCTAGTGACTTAGCAAGAACTTGTCTCAAAAAAGTTTTTTAAAAGGTCTGGGAATGTAGCTCAGTGTAAAGGCCTTGGGTTCAATCCCCAGTTCTGGAAAGAAGAAAGGAAGGAAAAATGGAATGAAGGAAGAAAGGAAGGAGGGAGGGAGGGAAGAAAAGAAGGAAGAAAGGAAGGAGGGAAAGAAGGAAGAAGAGAGGAAAGGAGGGAGAAGAAGGGAGGGAGGGAGGGATTGAAAGATTTTTACAATCCCAGTTGCAGAATTTGTAAAATCTTTTCTTCTGTCCATTTAAAAAGCTGCTAAGTAAATATTTTTAGGAAACTGGGAGGAAATCTGGGGTTATGAAAATATAGAGAAGAAGCAAAGTCTGCCTGTTTCTTTTCCTGGTACTGGGCGGGACCCCAGGGCCTTATCTTAAGGCCGTCCTTGTGCATGCTGGAGCCACACTTCCGCCCAAGGTCTTCTTTTTTTGTATTTTTTGGTTTTTTTTTGGCTTTTTGAGATAGGGTCTTGCTATGTAGTTGAGGTTGACCTCAAACTCATGGTGCTTCTCCTGCCTTGGCCTACTGAGTACTGGGATTACAGACATGTACTACCGGGCCTGACTGCTAGGTCTTTCTTTTAAAGCTGTTAGAAGCTGTCAGATTGCTCAGAAATGGCTGGAACCAACATTTCCAATTCCCCAAGTGGAAAAACCAAGTTTAAGACCAGAGCTGACCTTTCAGAATCAGAAATGGAGCCCTTGGGCGATGGGAACACCTGCCTTCCCACATGCTCTGTACTTCCCCCTTCCTCCCACACAGGGTGGGCAGCCGGCCATGAGCATGCCCAACTAGAAGTCTCAAGACTCTGGAGCCTACCCTGCAAGGGCCATGAGCTTTGGCTAAGGGCTCTGCTTTGTCACATCTTAGAGAGCCCTGGATCCTCCATGTGCAATCAAGAGCCAGGCCTGTTTGTAGTAGTGAGGCTGGATCACCAGTGGGACTCCCTGGCCATTGGCCCAGCCCTGTTTGTGAACTTACAGGATCGGCCAGGCCATGCAGATGTGGCCCGCAGAGTGTTTCCGGTGGGACCATATGCCTTCTGAGGGCTCAGAAAGGCCTGGTACAGGGACCCCAGCTTCCTAATGAGCTGCCGTGCCATGGCACTATGGCTTGTTGCTGATGAAATCGTCCGAGAGTAAGATGTGCTTCTACACTGAGGGATGTGTCCTCCAGCCCTTTTTCAAAAGGCACACAGCCTGCTTCCTCAGGGGGCTCTGATTTGCCCCCAACCTGAGTCTTCCTTCCCTATCCTCTCGGTCCTAGTGGATCTGGAATCAGGGATCAGAGAGAATTCTTAGCCCAAAGATGATGGCTACCACTGGTGGAACTGGAGGTCACTACCAGGGGAAGTGAGCCCTTTACCTGAAGGGACTTCTGACCCATGGTTTGGCCTTGTTCAGAAAGAAGCCCGGCTCTGATGCCCAGCAGCTGAATTGATGAACAGTGGTGGAACCTCTTCACCTTTTGAGAGTACAGGGTCAGGTCCAGGAAACAATAGGAACTAATTGCTATTCTAGATAGATAGAGAATAATCAAAAGCAAGTGCTTTTACAGGCCCTTTGATCTCCAGTAGCCTCATCCCATCCTGCCCATAGGAGCCAAGCTGCAGCAGGGTTGGGTTGCAGCGCATCTGTGACAAACCCTGCCAGGGCACACCATACCCATTCTGAGTGCAGGTCACAGGCGAGCAGGGTCAAGGTAGCACTGTGAATGGAAAGCCTGGAGAAGACCGTCCCCACCACCCTGGTGCATAGAACTGAGGAGAACACATGGGTCAGGCCTGGGTGCAGGTTGTTCCGTCCGTGTCACCGGGTCCCCCTTTGGCAACCAGGAGCCATGACATCCCTGCCAAGTGAAGGGACAAGCAAGACAACCTGCCCAGGACTCCAGGACTCATTCACTGCTTTCTCCTTATCTTAATTTTTCTTGCGCTGTGGGGTGACCAAGGAAGAGAGGGTCCCAGAGAGGCTGGGAGGAGTCTGTGGTGGGTCATTCTCTTTGAAGGTCAAAAATAATATCTTCTTGCCTTGTTTTTCTCCTCCGGCCCGTCCTGAACCTCACAAAGAGATCCCCGTAGCACCACCAACCACTGCAGCCAGCAGCGTGGAGGAGCCCGAAGGTGAGTTGTCCCGGAGCTCCTTGTGTGTCACTTTTGCTCTGTGGAGTGGGGGTGGGGGTAGAAGACCCTGACTCCCATAAGCCCCTGGGCTTTGTGTGAGTGCTACCCTCCCCTCACCCCATACCACCCTGGAGAGGAGGGAGCCATGCGGTACTTTTTGGTGATTTTGCTTCTGAGAATAAAATAAAAGATGTTTTAACAAAGCCAAAGGGTAAGTCTCCAAAAGCCAGAGCCCTAGCGGCGAAGCTCCTTGTACTTGCTGCTGAGGTCAGAGTGCTGCCTCCTGGCCTGGCAGCATCGGGGCCTCCTTCCTATGGCAGTGCTGGGACTGAGGCTTCCTGGGCCCGGGTTCCACACTGGGGTGTTGGAATTTGAGGGCCCATGAGGTGAGGCGGGAGGAGAATCCCACCTTCTTCTTCCACGTCCAACTGAAGATGTCACGTTTCCTCCATGACAGACGTGGGCCACCAGCCACAGCCTTGTGATGTGGCCACCAGTAGCAACCATAGCTATGCTCACATCATATCATTGTTGTACAGATACCATGAAATATTTATGCTCATGATTGCTTCAAAGTTACAGCAGTTACTAGACCTACTGCTAGATCCTAATTTATAGTCATTTAAAAGAAGCACATGTCATCCCAGTACTGTGGGAACCCCAGTCAGGACAATCACAAGTTCAAGCGAAGACTAGGCTGTAATCTCCAGCTCTTTCTATTTTTTGTTTTGATACTGGGCCAAACTTGCTATCCTCCTGCCTCACCTGCCCTGGCTTCCTCTCATCTCGATCGAGATGCTCCTCAATTTGGATGGGGTTACATGCTGAAAATATGCAAAATACAAAATGCACCAAGGACACCTCATCCTCATTCAGCTGGAGCGTGCACTTCAGGGTGCTGGGTTTTCTCCCCTTGAGATCACAGGACTGATGGAACTGTGGCTCCCTGATGCTGCCCAGCATCGGGAGAGAGGATCTGACCACGTATAGCAAGCCCAGGAAAACATCCAAATTGAAAATGTGAAATACAGTTTCCACTGACTGTATATTGCTTTCACACCATCGTAAAGTCAAAACGTGTTACTTTAAACCATCATAAGTCAGGACTGTCTGTGTTTTATTTTAGCACTGAAAAACACTGAGGCAGGTTCTGCAGGCTTCCTTGGTGCAGTTTGAAAGGCTTTGCAGGGGGCCAGGGATATAGCTCAGCAGCGCAGTGCCTGCCTGGCAAGTGCAAGGTCCTGAGTTGGATTCCCGGTCTTCCCCCACCACCGAAAAAAAAAGAAAGAAAGGCTTTGCAGAGGGGACAGAGGCTGGCAGTGTGGGGTGCCCTGCACAGAGCTGCCCAGGTCCACGCTGGGCTCCTGGTTGTGGGACACGGTGGCTTCTGTGTATTGGTACTGAAGTAGGCAGAATGACAGTGACATTCGTGCCAGCCCTGGGGGTCCCTCTTCTCTCCAGATGGGACTGCGGAGGTGGGGGAGAGCTTGCAAATCCACGTGGTTGCCTCAGCTTTGGAATAAAACTATGGATATGGGGGAGAATTGGCAGCGCCCTGGGCACTTGAGAGAAAACACATTTGAGCTTGTGCGCGCGAAGCCAACGGACAGCCCGCGAGAGGAAGGACAGAAATGTGCTTCAGGGAGTGCCACGGGCCACCCTGGGGAAAGCCAAGGTAGCGGGGCCTTGAGTCGTTTGCTGGGATTCTGGTGCTTTGGGCTGAGCAACTGTGATGGGAAGGTTTGAAGGAAGCTGCATCCCAGTGTACCTGAGAGCTGGATGCTGGAGGTAAGGTGTGAGGGAGAAGGGCCTCTGTCACAGCACGGGCTGCAGCAGTGTCCCAGCGTGGTTCGTCTCTAGTAGTGCAGTTGATTTTTTTTTGAGGGGGTATACATATTCTTTTAATTAAAAATTATTTTTTCCAGTTACACAGGAGACCGAGTCATTTGAGTCCAAGAGTTCAAGGCCAGCCTGGGCAACATAGTGAGGCCCAATCTCGGGGGAAAAATTTGTTCCCTCTTGTTTATTGAGGACAAGGTAGACTTTTTTCTAGTTTTTTGTTTGTTTGTTTGAATTAAAAACTAGTGGAGGGGCTAGAAGTGTAGCTCAGTGGTTGAATGCATGCTCAGCCTGCATGAGGCGTGGAGTTCATTCCCCAGCACCATTAATCAGTAAAAATGAAATGAAGGGGGAGGCGTTTTGAAGCTGGAAGATACTTGAGTGGCATGTCCGTTCTTGGCACCACAGTGATGCCCAAGGGGACTCAGCTGCACAAGCCGTTGGCCTTACATCATGAGAGCTGCATAGGAGCGGTGTACACAGCTCACCTGAGGGCAGGATAGAGCCTTTTGCTTTTAATTATAATTACTAATGCATGTTAATTGTGCAAACTAATGGGTCACACTGCAACATTTAGGACAGAACTTATGATCTTTCTCTGTCTCCTTTCATTTTTTTTTCTACACCTAGCAATAGAATTTTGGATTCCTTATAATGTTTTTGGCTTTTTCCTTTCCAAAGCAGAAATGGGCAAGTTGGGGGTGGGGGAGCAAGAGGGAAAGAAATCCACACCCCCTGCATATCTACATAGGTACACACAGCTGGTATAAAGCATCCGAGGATCCTAGCTGTACTAGACACAATACCCCTCCTCCCCTGCCGCCTTTATTTTGCAGTGTTCAGAATCAAACCCAAGGCTAGGGAAGCACTACCAGTGGGTTATATCAGCTGCCCCAGGGAAGAGATTTCTGAGCAGTACTTTTTAACATTGCTAGCATCCTCTTTGGAAATATCTTCCTTGACAGTCCTTGGTTGGTTAATTAACTATTCTGATTCCTCTTGATTTTGTGACTGTTTATTTCCTTTCTTCTTTCTTAAACACTTACAAAGTACTTTCCTTGCAGAAGGGCTGGACAGTCGTGTTTGGGTCTTGGAGCTTTGGCCAGATCCTGTCTGGTAAAGGAGGGCCCAGAAAGCACAAGTCATCCTTGGGACCACCATTCTGGCCTTCAGGCCCTCCCGTCAGAGAGAGAGCTGAGAGCTGGAGGCCAGGTGGGGCCCCCAGAAGTAGGGCCTGGAAGTGCAGCACCTCCAAACCTGTCCACTCTTGCCGTATTTGAGCAGGGAAGGCCTCTGTGTGAAGCTGCCTGAGAAAAGCTTATTTATTTTTGCCTGCCAAACAGAAGAGAGAGAATTAATAAGCCAAGGATGTGTTCTGAAGGCTGACAGACATAACCTCACACTGAACTCATCCCCTTGAAGGGCCAGCTCACTTTGGGAATGCGCTCTACCTACTCCCTGAGCTGGCCCATGAGCTGTTATGGGCAGGATGGCCAGGAATGTGGCGTTGTGGGAGGTCTGGGACAGGGAGGCCAGGAAGGGAGAGAGGGACCCTCATTCCAAAAGGGCGACGTGCCTGAGGTTCCCCAGCACAGATCAGTTTCCTGGTTGCAGAGGCCTCAGTACCCTTTGGTTAAAAGAGGGATGCCTGTCTCCCCTCACCCTCCCTCAACTTGAGGGAAGTCCTTTACCTGGAAATGGCTGGCTTTTGTGGAGGTCACTTGGTTCACTGGAGGAGCACTGGTTTGGAGCCCGCGGATCTAGGTTGCTCCTTCCCTGGCTCAAGGTCTTGGACTGAACCGGCGTAGCCCCTGTGCTCCCAGGCTCCTCCTTGCCCTGTTTCTCTGCAGCAGGGCCGACCCTCCCCTGCATCTGGAGTCTCTTCCTCATCCACATCTGATGACCGAGTCCACCCCCAAGCCCTAGGGGAGGCCTGCGGCAAGGTGCCTGGGGGGAAATAGTTCACACCTGAGATGATTTGTAGGTTGTGCTTCTTTGCCCGGAGTAAATATTCCACCTGCGCCCTGTTTCAGGCTGCCCCGTGGAAGAGACATGCAGGGTTGGCTCTCAGAGCCCACAGGAGCCCACCCCACCCAAACTTGCTGTGGGCCTGTGCAGGAAATGGACAGAGATCCAGGGGAAGGGAGGCTGCCTCTGCTAGTCTCTGCGGTTCGAAGTGCTTGGCTGCCTTGGAGCGCAAGCTGGGCCCAGGGCTGTGGTTCAGAGTGAGGAGCCGGCCAAATCTTGGGCTCCTCCAGCTTCCCACAGGGGTCTTGCGCCCTTTCCCCAGCCCTGTTTGGGCCCCTGTCTGGTCCCCTTGCTCCAGTGGCTCCAGACTGGGGCTGAGGGTGGTTTCCAAGAGCACCTTGCACGCGCCCCTTAGGAAGCTGAGATTGAGAGCTCTGCAGGCGGCAGCTGGATCCACAGAGCCCTTTGCTCATGCCAGCAGGTGAGTTGGGGAGGGAGTAACCGTTGAGATGTCACACTGAGCGACCTCTCCACATGTCCAGCTTTTCAGCAAAGAGAATGAATTTGTACACTTGCAGCCTAGATTGTTCTCAGGTTAGCCTTCTGTCTCCCGGCATAGGGCCTACGTTGGTGGAAATGGGAATGTGCAGCATCAAGACTTGAAGTATGAGTGAGGTTTTGGTGGGCAGGACAGGAAGGAGGATAAAGCTTTGAATGGGCAGCCTGAGTTCGACTTGATCTCTTGTGGTTTCTTTCTCTGAAATGAGTAATAATAATCCTGGCTTGTAGGGTTGTTTGGGTGATTAAATGAGATGATCCACGTAAACCCTATGAGTCAGTGGGGGACCTGTTGTAAGTGTTCAACAAAAAAGAAAAAAACCACATGAGAAAGGTAAACACCACAGTGTAGTGAGGGGGGAGCCAAGCCGGCCACGTCCCTGCCAGCTTCTGCCCCAGATAGAGAGGCTTGGGTGGGGAGTTCTTGGCATAAGGACAGGTGTGGCGGGTTAGCTTGATGTAGGGTCTGTAGAGAGACCCTCAGAAGTGACGCGTCTGGCCGCCCCAGCAGGAGCACCTGAGGGAGCTGTTGGTGGCCTGGTCAGAGCTTTGGAGCTGCTAACATTAGGCCCTGAACCAAGCAGAGTTAGAGAGTAGAAACTGATCAAAGGTCAAGTCCTTGACTCACGATAGCC